CAATTTGCATTTAAAAAATCTGAAAAATTTTTTAAAAAGTTATTAACTCGTTCAGAAATTCTGAAAAATTTTAAAATTGACATAAAATTTTGAAAAATTATATGAACAATTCTTAAAATTTTTACCACAGCAATTTTTAATATTTGCGCATGATTCAAAAGAATACATAATAATGTTGTTTCTCGAGTAGCACTGATAATTCTTTTTTTTTCTATTTTTGTGAAATAGCAACAGTTTAAGAGAAAGTCAACTGCAAGATGAAATGGAGACCAGGACAGTGACCGCGTTGATCGCGCTGGCCTCCGTGGCATGCGCCAGTGGAGTTCTTCAGGGTCGCGCCCTGTGTGCGATATTGCGATTAACAACGGAAAAGCAAGTAAATGTGCAGACGGTGCGGAAGGTTCTCTTGATGGCGGCGCAGCACACGACGACGGACGTGTCGCTCATTGAAGATAATTTGAATTATCTGCTGACTTCTTGGATCGAGGATGCGCATTATCAATTGCAGAACTTTCCATGGATGCTTATGGGTAAGAATATATTCGTTGATTTAATGCCATTTGATGCAATATTAATATAATAGTAATATAATAGTAATATAATAGTAATAATAGTAATTTTAAAATAAAAAATTCAATTATTTATATTAAATTAGTACTAATATTATGAAAAACAAATTTTTTTATGGCGTCTGACATATCCACTAATGAAACAAGTAAAGATTTTTTATTACAGTTTTATAAGATTAAAAAATATGACATTTATAATATATAACATAAATTGATCTTTAATATAAGTATTATATAATATAAATTGAATCAAATTTATTATTATCAATAGGATGCGAGACTATCGACGAATTCTTTAGAAAGAATGTCAACTGCATTGTTCCGGTTCTACTGCGCACTTCGGATATCGAAGAGACCGTGTCTTTTTGCGTGAATGTCGATGTAGACTTCAATAAAATCTTCGAGGATATCTTCCCATTCTGCTTCGTGTGGCTGATATCACGCGCCATTGTATTCGATACTGACACAATGCACAAGCTGATAAATAACACAGACGAGTTCGCAAACACGAAAACATTCAGTCAGCTATTCCGTTCTCGCTTACAGGACATTCTTGTAGAACTAATACGGCGGCTACATGATGAAGATGACTTTAAGAAGATTCTTTCGATCTCATTTACGTGCTTTCCGGCGACGGATCCGCCGCATTTCTCACGAGCCGTGCTGGATCTATGTTTTGATTATCTAGAATCTGGTCATTCTCTAAACACACACATGCTGGTCGAACAACAACCGGCGACGCTGCAAAAAATACTGTTGCGGCTCGCAAGCGCTGTACACTCGTCGCGCTCTCGCGAGGGTAAGCTCAAGCGACTACATCAGTACGCGTACTTCTGCTTGCGGCTAACACATGACCTCTCGAAGTCCGTCTTCAATGAGATGGCCGCGTTTCTGATCCGAGACGTATGCTACAGCTTGTTACATCTCACCAGAAATGGTGGTGATGGCGACGAGACGCTCGTCGCGGCATGCTGCAAATTTCTGGACCTGTTCTTGAGACAAGCATTGCCCGCGAGAGCCACGGAGGTTCAAGACGTCCTTCGGTTTATCGTGGCAAATTTGATCGGCCTAGCGCAATCGAAAAATAGCAGCATCAGCGAGATGGCTGCGAGTCTACTTAGATTTCTCGTGGTGGAGCAAAGAAATGTACTACGAGAGGCCATCGCAAAACTCGGCTCGTTTCCAAATCATGAAGTCTTCAAAGATGTAAGAGAAACTCATAACACTATCCGATTGGACGACGGATCTGCGCTGTGCCTTGAAGGCGAGCTGGAACGTTTCCTAGATGCCATAGGTGAGGAAAACGCCGAGTGCACCCTGGAAGATCTCGCGAATTTCACGCAGCAGTTATCAACGAGAAAAAGTGAGCTGCGAAAATTACACCAAAAGTTGCAGAGTCCGTATCCTGAGGATGGTGCTAACATCCTGCATAGATTGATATTCAGGTAAACATGCATTTTATTCAAATTAATATTACATGTGCGTTAATATTATATTATATTATATAATAATATATATAGTAATATTATTTAATTTCTTTCTTTTTCTCTTATTTTCCTTATTTTTTATTTTATCACATAGAATAACTGTCTCTATTAGTGTGCTTTTGTATTTCAATAAAAAATATAAAGAAGACGCACGAATAAATAAGGAAAAACATTTTTTTTATTAAGTTAAATTATTAATGCATACGATATCTCAAAGATAATATTTTATTTTTTAACTATTAAAGTATTTTAAATCTTTTTCGAAAAATATTAAGAATTTATGTGAATCCAATAATATGTATTGCAAGATTTTAAGCTTGTCCCTATTAGTGTGCTCTGTATTGGATCTGAGAACGTTGTGTTATGAATGTACATTGACATAAGTATAATTAAAATATGTAATATTCACTTAAACAATTAGCTTAAATTTATTACCTGTTTTAGTACTGTATATTAAAATGAGTCAAATGCGGATAGGCATACAAATTGAAGGCACATTAATAGGGCTATCGTCGCATGGAGGACTCACTAATAGAGACAAAAACATGGTTTTTATTTTTCAAAAACAAAATATTCACATTTTTTATATTAAAGGAATATTATAAGAAAAAGAAATAGTTGAAAACCGATATTAATTGCAAGCAGTTAAAATTAAAGCAACAATAATTTAATAATTAATTCGGTAATAAGGAAATTGGCTAAAAGACACATCAATAGAGACAGTTATCCTAATATTTTTAAACTCACTTCTCAGACTTATCAGACTAACAGAATCACCTAATCCGCGCGTGTCGATGGAGGCCACGAAATGCTTTGGCGAATTAGGCCCGATGGACTTCACAATGGCTCTGCAACCAGCTGGAAGTTTCGTCCGAAAAGAAGACTGTGCAATAGAGGCTTTGACCTATCGATCGGTTGCGATGTTGACGAATTTTCTCGTGGAAAATTCAGTGGAACTTCGCAAAGTAATTTTTTATTACATAATAATAATTAAATCTCGTGTTATCTCGAATTTTCATTGCATTGTGATATCCTAAGTGAAAACTAAAATTTTAGTTTTAAAATATTTTCTTAATTTAATATGTAAGTAACATTTCTTTAAAAAAATTTTTTTTTAATCCTAAAATAAATAATATATAATATAGTATTAACTGTATTTAAGGTGAGCGCTGAAGCCCTTTATGCGGTGCTGTCAACCTCCAACGGTCGGAAACTATTTGATCTCAAATATTCAACAGACTTATCGAACATCCTTGAGTGTACATCTCTGAAGATCGATTATATCCGACCGTTCGCTCGCGGCCGTTGCGTCAGGCAGACGTCCTTCAATGTGGACACTGCAAAATTTCGCGTTGTTATGAATCCAGAAAACGAGCTGTGGACAATCCAGAACAACGAGAATTATGCCGATTGGATCATCAACGTTACCTGCAGCGTTGCCGAATGCTTCACAGACTCCTACTTGGAGAGCTTCCTGTCGGTTTGTCGACTCAGCGTCGAATTCTGCGAACTGATTTTGCCAAGAATCGTTTACCTCGTCATTCATGAGAACGATAGATTTATCGATACCATGTGTGATTGCGTTAATCAATTTTTTAGGTATTATTAATTTATTTAAGTATAAAATGTTTAAACAACGGAAAATTTAAGAAATAATTCCAGGTGTTTACTACCTAGAAAAATTTGAAATTTCCAAGGAATTTCTCTTTACCTTTGAAAATCAAGAATTTTTACGGAATTTATTGGAAATCAGGGAAATTTTGGAATTGTACTTAAATTAAAATTTTTTAATTGTTTTCATTATTTCAAAGTATTAAAAAACTTTTTAATCTTATATTTGGATCTTATTTTTAACAAAAATACCTTGAAAATCTGAAAATTCTCAAGGAATTTTTTACAAGATTTCAGTAAACATCTTATTTAATATCGTGAAACATAATTCATAATTTATATCAATTCATATTGATTAGGCAACACTTTGCAATCGATGAAGCGGAGACTACCGCATCGCCGACGTCGAAAGGCGATAGTTGTGACCAGAAGATCATACGCCGTATGTTGGACGTGGTGAATCATATACGCGCTCAACTGCCGGATGGCGTGAAGTTAAGACTCGATTACGTCTACCTAGCCAGAGCGGCGCACAAGTGCTCCGCATACTATACAGCGTTGCTGTTCGCGCAACTCGCCTGCGGGTCAATCTCGACGGACTATCCGGATTTCAGCAGTGACCCGAGGATCAACTACATTTATGAACGCCAGCCAGAAATCGGCCGAGTGCTACAAAACATCATGCTGGACACCTACTTGAACATTAGCGATCCAGACGCCGGAGCTGGGTTGTCGCATGTGCTTGATCATGATTCTCGTGTGCAATACTACGCCCGTACCAATCGCTGGGACGAGGTCATGCTCGCGCTGGACATCGAGTTGTCCCATAACAATTACTCACTGTTGGCAAACGCCAGGATGGAGATGGCAAACGCGTTACACCGCTCAGGGATGCAATTTCTCCAGTGGCAATTTCTGAGCGGTAGCCTAGACGAGAAATTTAGGTGAATTATATGTATAACTATAATTACATAAGAATTTGCAGATAAAAAAGTAAGTATATAGTTTATTTGATAGCTTGAGCATAAAGTATGAATTTTACAAAAAGCTCGTGTGATTTGCTAAACTACAAATGAATAATGAGGCTATGTAACGAGCAATATAACATCTAATATTTATTAATATAATTCTACTAATCATTCGATTTATTTATAACGTTTCGACTTTTACTCAGTCTTTTTCAGTTATTCTACCTATATTTCCCTATTATATAACTATATTAATTAATTGTTAAACAATGACTAGATACTCTTATGTTAACGTCATTAAATTTGGTGACAATTAGCATTATAGATATCTTATGCGCTTATTAAGCCCATATGTGAATCCGAGTTTCCAAACTTATATGTTATATTATATTCACTCCATACAAATTTAATGGCGTTAATATAAACGTATCTAATTAATATTTAACAATTAATTAATATAGTTATATAGTAGGAAAACATATTAGGTAGAATAACTGAAGAAAGTTAAATAAAAGTTGAAACGTTTTAGATAAATTGAATGATTGTAATAGAATTATATTAATAAATGTTAGATGTTATATTGCTTACTACATAGCCTCATTATTCATTTGTAATTGAGCATACAAATTTATAAACGAATTTCTTCTTCTAGTTATGAGTGCGCCTGGAGACTCAGCAAATGGGATCTACCCGTCAACGACGCCACCATCATCAATTATAATGATTTCCAACCTCAGCAGTTACGAATGGAGTCACTGGTGAACGCGTTCCACGCTCACCATTATCACGCACTGAAATGCTTCCATGAGAACGACCGTCAAGGTATAGATCGGGCGATTGAGTGCGGCCGCATGAGCGTGATACACGAGTTACGAGTGATCAGCCCTGAGAGTAGCAAGATCATCAATCAAAAGCTATCGCAACTGCGGATGTTGCGTGAGATTGAGCAATTAAGCTGGGTAGCTGATTCTTCGGAAAAGAAGTATCCGGAGATTTTGCGACGTTGGAACGAACACAATATCAGTTTGATCGGTCAATTCGACCACGTAGAACCGATCCTGTCGCAGCGTATCACTATGTTCCGCATCCGTGAATCTCTGCGGACGAATGCAGACGTGCAGAAAGCATTCTTTGATACTTGTCTGGACCTGGCAAAGGTCGCGGAGAGTCAGGGTAATTTCTCGGTGGCCACCCGAGCGCTGAGACCTCTCGAGTTGCATCAAAATTTGTCCACAAATCTGAAGAACCAACTGCTGTATCAAGAATCACTCTTGACATGGATGAAAGGCGAGCAGGTAATAGCGCGTCATCTGTTACGAAGCCTAATCGAGAAGAAGGATCCAAAACCAAGTCTGAAAGCTAAAGCTCTGCGAGTCTACGGTGATTGGATGGCGGAAACTAAGTCCGAAAATCCTCAGGCAGTAATACAAAAGTATTACTTAGTGTCCATTGAGATCAGCGAAGCTATCGACGAGCAAACATCCGATGTTATCGAAAATTTACATGACACGCAGGTAGGAGGATAAATATATGCAAAGTAATCGGTATTGAGAAATTGCATGCAACAACAGCATAAATCGATTATTATTACTTACATTATTACCTATAAGAATTCAAGTAAAGAAATATATAAAATTTATAGACTCCTTAAATTAATACAATGAAAATATAATAACAAAATGCAAATGGGCGTTAGAAGTCAACGCTGGATGTTATTCTATTCTAGAATAGAGAGAATTTATAATTTATATTCTATTGAAATTATATATATATATCAACATTACAAATTTGTATCTTTGAAGTTATTCTATTTAAATCTTCAGTTTTATTTTTGTCACGTGTGTAAAATTGCATTTATCTTCTCAATTAATTAACTCAGTAGAAAGAATTTTATTTATCTTGGTATATTTTATGTTTTTCATTATAGGCTGCACTGGCGCGCTTTGCTGATACACAGTACCAGCAAATCAGCACATACATGAATTCGCCAACATACGAGGCACTGAAGGAATACGCTTGCAGCAGTACGGATAAAGTGGACCACGCGAAGATGATGAGCAATCAATATTTCAAGCGCGCCGTGATAATCAGTCAAAAGCAATCGACGAACGACGCAGCCGAGCTGAAGAACATCGAACAGGAGAAGCGCAATTATCTCGCACAAGCTTTGAAGTACTATCTAAGGACGTTGCGTAGCAGTGAGAAGTACAACCTGCTAATCTTCCGGCTGGTGGCACTCTGGCTGGACAACATACGTGATGATGAAGTGAACGAGCAGCTACTGGACGAACTGGACACCATACCCTCGTTCAAGTTTGTGCCGCTGGTGCCTCAATTGGCTGCTCACATAAGCAATGATATCAGGCAGCAGTATGGCTTCTCCGCACGAATTTTCCGGATCCTCGAACGATGCACTCTGGAACATCCATATCATACATTGCCTGTGGTTCTGGCGCTGAAGAACTTGCACAGCGACGACGAGTACGAATCGGATTCGACAGATGCGAAGAAGGAAGAGCGTCGCGTGTTAGGCGCCAAGAAGCTTCTCAGTCGGTTGACCGACTCCTCTGTGCGAACAATCATTCACGAAATGGAAAACCTATCGCGGGCACTGTTGAGTCTTGCCTATTGGCAACCCAAGGGCAAGTGCTATTTCAATAAACGCTATGTGATACCACGAGAGCAGCCAATATGCAAGGTACTTTTTAAATTATTGATTAGATACCTGAACAACATCCTTATAGACGAACACCGCTGAAGTTATTTACTTTATTACTACTTTATAGTTATTTTATTAATTTTGGTGTGGCTGTTGAGCAGGGCAAGGTCCTACCCGTTCAAATTATTTATACTGCTTTCGGAAAGCAGTATAAATAATTTAGGCTCTAAAGAATATAAATCAAAAGAATATAAAAAAATTCTTTGGAAAGAATAATAACCATAGATCACGATGCAAAATCTGATTCCGTATCTAATCAATCGATTTTGTAGATCAAGAACTTGGACAATGTTCTTCTACCAACCATGAGTCTACCTGTGAGACCGTCGGGCAATTACGACGACGTAGTCGGCGTAAGGTCATATCAGGATTCCTGCGAATTCGTCGGTGGCGTGAACATGCCTAAAAAAATTATCTGCGTCGGCACCAATGGCGTGCAACACCGGCAATTGGTCAAGGGGAAAGATGACCTACGGCAAGATGCAGTGATGCAGCAAGTGTTCACTGTGATGAATACTCTGCTGTGCACGTGTAAGGAGACGCAACGGCGGAATCTACGTATCAAAACGTACAAAGTGGTGCCGCTGACGCAGAGGTCGGGCGTGCTAGAGTGGTGCGACAACACGGTACCCATCACGGTAATCTTGGTAGGCAGTTCTGACAAGCCAGGTATGCACAAGAAATATTATCCGCGCGGCCTGACTGCGGAAGCGGCAAGAGATAAGATGAAGAACGTCGCTCAAGAATCGAACGAGGTAAATAATAGCTAATTTCTCTGTTATTCCCATTACTAATTATGCTAACAGGCTGTTATCAAAATATGAATTTTATTAGAATATATTTTGTAAAATATAATTTTAATAAATATTTTTCTTAAATTTTTCGATTTACTTAATTTAACGTTTGGAAGTTTAATATTTTTAAAGAGATTAAGAGCTGGTTGTTCTATCTTTATCTTTATATGTGGTAATTTACTTTTTATTGAATAAACAAGAATAAAAGAGTAAGACATAAGAGAGTAAGAGAGTAAGACAGTGAGCTGAAAGGTGAAACAATCCAGCCTTAACTGTATAAATATAATCTTAACATTAATAATTTCTCTGAGAAAGTATTAATATTTTAATTAAAATTTTATTATAATTATAGATTAAAGTTAAACTTTTAAATATCAATTTTCGAACCTTTAGCTCTTTATCTTTCCGTTTGTATAGATGAAATTGAGAGTCTTTCTTGAGTGCTGCAAATGTATGAAGCCAGCGTTCCATCATTTCTTCGAGGAGAAGTATCGATCACCTGAAACCTGGGTCGAGAGGACTCTTACATACACACGCAGCGTCGCCACCACGTCTATCGCGGGTTACATTCTGGGCCTCGGCGACAGACACTTGAGCAACATCCTTATAGACGAACACACCGCTGAAATTGTTCACATTGATTTTGGTGTGGCTTTTGAGCAGGGCAAGGTCCTACCCCTTCCCGAGACAATTCCTTTCAGGTGATATTATCGTACGAATTAATTCGCTTTTGAAAAGCGCGCATTAAAGAATTTTATACCTTATAATAAGTTAAACGAGACCGCAATGCGAATAATACAAATAAGCAAGAAGCGTCAAATTCAGTCAACTCTGGATTTTGGTGCCTAATGATATTTCTATGTAATTTTAAGATGCTTAAGAGCATGTTCATTAAATTGATGATCAATATAGATTGTGTTATTTTAGGTTGAATTTATGACTGCGTTTCAAGTACGACAAGTACGACGTTTTAATCAACGCGTAGTTTATTTAACTGAAAGGTGTTTAAATTTTACATAGAAATGTTAGACATCAGTTTTGATCACCGCTTTTTGGCGCTTCTTATACCCGTTTCTATTAGTAAATTAACTAATCTCAGCTCAACTCTTACTCTTTATCATTTTTTGATTTTTAAAACTAGAAAAAGATGAAGAACGAGTTGAACCAAGATTAGTTAATCTATATTGGTGGAAATTATTTAGATTATTTTATCGACTGTCCTTATTAACTCGTTGTCCGCTTCATTGTAGATTAACCAGGGATATCGAAGTCGCCATGGGTGCCTCTGGCATCGAGGGTACTATGAGGCGTAGTTGCGAAGTGACTATGACAATGCTGCGCGATCAGAGGCAGATTATCATCACCCTCCTTCAGGTTCTGCTATACGATCCACTCTTCACGTGGGCGATCACGCCGGAGAAGGCCTGCAAGATGCAGAGCGATGTCGTAAAGCGTTTCTCAGAAAACAGTGGACGAGGTAAGAGGAATTGATCATTTGATTGAAAGCAATAAATTATTAACTCGCAAGACTATCTTGATTAATTATGACGCGAATTAATCCATTAATTTTTACTTGCTTTAGCATCTATGGAAACTAACACGATCGCCAAGAGAGCTCTTTTGAGGATCGAACAGAAGTTGCAAGGCACCGAGGACGGTCTGGTGTCCAGTGTTCCCGGACAGGTCGAGAGACTCCTGCAGGAAGCGCGAGATCCTGCGAATCTATGCCGAGTTTACTGTGGCTGGCAACCATATTTGTAAATACCCGGTGAATAATCGTTCATAGTGTTCATATCCAGTGGATACATTTAGGATAAGTTTTATATGTTATACGTTAATTTATAATGTACATCAAAAGTATACCTTTTATATCGTATTAAATTTTTTATCTTTCATAAAATTTTATCGATGTCCGAGTGTACCCATTTATATTGCAGCGCTTCGGCAAATCGATGTATCTATATATCGCCTTCCCGAATGTAATTTTCCTGCATTCCTATATTCTGTGTCTCGCGCATTTGAAATTCCAAATTCAAATTTTGGACTGAAGTAGTGAAGGTGAATCTCGAGAAGAGACTGAGAGTGCAGAAAGGGCGCTATTAAAATTATCAAACGAGAAGCAAGTATGAAAAGGATAACCGGATGAAAATGAAGCTTTCAGAGAAACTTTGTCGTTCCAGACATACCTGACATATATTTTCCCAACGCTCAAAGTTCTCTTTTGCGACCTAATAACAGTGTTCGCGCTATATTGATTTCAGAGTGAAAAGGCGTATCGATCTCTTTGATTGTTTATATTGCCGGCGAGAATGATTGTGACGTTGCGGAAACGAGACGGGTGAGAGTCACACGCGAAGCGGATTAACTGCGATGAGATGACAAAGTCCACACCTCAGCGTTCTTATTTTTGCCATCGGAGAGGAGGAGGGTGCTTCGCTGGCGTTTGCGTCCCACGTCCCACCGTGGGTGTAGGTGTAGGCATGAGTTTATATGAAGATAACAAATCATAATAACTTTATTAAGGTACAAGTATCTATATAGCACAGAGAGTGACATTGCAATGTTACTCCAAAATTGCTGGAACGTTGCAATGCTGCTACAATGTTGTTAGAACGTTGCAATACTGTTGTAATATTGGAGCGTTGCAATGTTGCTGAAAGATTGCTGGAACATTACAATGTTGCCGCAACATTGCTGGAATTCATGTAGTGTATGAATGGTGAGAGCGATTATACAGACTGGACAGCTGCACCTCGAGATGCAGCAACGATAACTTTATAATTAGCTCAGATCTACACCATTAATAATAGTAATAATAATAATAAATCTTTATTGAATCATAAATATAAGATTATACAAAAAACAGGACGATCATAATAGACGGCTGCACCTGAAAAGGTGAGGGAACGGTGTGCCGCTAATGCTATAAGATCAGCTATAATGATAATAACAAAAGTGTAGGTGTAGGTGTAGGTGTGCGGCGTATGTAGCGCGCAACGTCGCCGTCACGTCTCCGCGGCTCGTCATCGATTGCGCGCGCGCGCGGGGAATCGTTCGCTAAAGTTTCTCCGAATTACTCCGAAGAGATAGGCCCGTGTAGCCGTCACCGCCGCGCAAATCGCCTCCGTCCTCGCGGCCTGCAACGAAAGAGAACGGTGGGCTCGTGATTTTCGAATCGAACAAGAGGGTGAGTGAGAGGGAGGAGGAGAGAGAGAGAGAGAGAGATAGGTGCGAGCGAGCGCGCGGGCGGGTCCTGCCGAAGCGTCGTCGCCTGTCACGTCTGCCGCGAGGATCAGTAGACTCTAAGTGAGATCTCGTGGTCCAGGATAAGGCCAGACAATTGAGATAACCAGCCAACCAGCCAGCCAGCCACTTATCAGCCGCCATCTTGCTCTCTCGAGGAGAACGGTGACAGACGGAGCCTGTCTGCTTGTCGGAGCGGAGCGTGGTGAGAGAGGCGTGAGGAAGGAGGGGAAAGAGAGTAGGAGACAGATATAGGTAGATACGACGACTCACGACGGTCCCTTCATGCGGTACGCGCCTATGCCATCCCGTCGCCTATGCCTCACTCCACGTACAATCGCAGCTGAGGATAGTTGGAGAACAGCCTAAGAAGAGGAGGAGGTGGTGGTGGTGGAGGAGGCGAAGAGGAGTATCAGCCGTGCCGATCGAGTGCTAGGTATACACGTATACACACACACACACGCACACACATCCAAAGGCGTGCGCGCGCGCGCCTCCTTCGTCATCGCCGTCGTGATCGTCGCTTCCACTCGCAATGGCAATGGAGACGCCGAGGGAGCGAGAGATCGCCGCCGAGGATAGCATCAAGGTGGTCTGCAGGTTCCGGCCGCTCAATGACTCCGAGGAGAAGGCCGGCTCCAAGTTCATCGTCAAGTTCCCATCCGGCGGCGACGAGAACTGCATCTCCATCGGGGTACGTGGAGCGCTTCACGCCTACGTGAACGTGGACCATTCTTGCTTTCATCTATCCGGATCTGATTCTTGGTTTTTTCCGTTATTGTTGCATATATTGTGTATAGATGTATGTTTATCTATATAGATGTGTACATAGATCCATAATGGGACTATGATTCATAACACACATGTTTCGAAAGATTTTCCAAATCCATTCTGCATTTAACTATGTACCAGAAATAAGCGAAGAGGGTCGTATCTGAAAGTGGGTCTTTGTTCTTGTGTTTAATGATATTTTTGTGAAGAATAACTTTTTTCCCTGATTTCCAAACATATTTCATAATTTTTCCTGACATTCAATAATATTAAAAAATTTTTTGTATTTTATTTGATGGAGATTGAATTTCCAGTCTTGTGGCAACCCTGTAATGTCACAAATTGAATGGACAGTGTAATAATACTGTTTTTAAATATTCTTCAAAAAAGACTTTTTAAGCCACAAAATTGTATTAAACGTCAGAACTTGCTTTAACCGAGTATGGTCTTCTTTGCTTATTTGTGTTAAATATTTTCACTTATTATCGTTACTTAATTTATGTACCAATTAGCAACTCTTTTATGTAGATTTACTTTAATCCGAGTTCAATTCTTCATCTTTTTCCAGGCTCAAAAATTACAAAAAGGTGAATAAATTGTACCGATTGAAGTTAATCTGGTAGAAATGTACTGAAAAAAAGAATCTAGTAATAGTTATCAAATATTGAGTAAAATAGGTTGTGGAAGTCTCAAAAGTATTATTAAAAAATGTTACTTTTCTAAATATTTTTATTAATTATTACTCAACAGTTATTTGATTATTATGTTGGATACTTACTAAATATTTAGAAAAGTAATATTTTTTGTTAATATTAACCGAATATTTAATTGAAATTATTTCACTGAACTGGTAATTATTACTGGATTCTTTTTTCATTGTAGACATTAGGAATTCAAATGATAGAAAATGTGTACATACGATAAATGCAACAGTAACTCTATAAAATTTAATACGTTTCATGTTATTGAAATTTTGCATGCGTTTTCTTCTAGAGTTTAGATATGTATAATAAAGTGTATTACACTAGGAAAATTTATTGTGATTATGGCAAGAGTTAAGAGGATTTATCTTTATTGAAGGCTTGGCGTTTACTAAACATGAATTTTTTTGCTATATAATGTATCAATTGTAGGGCAAAGTATACCTCTTTGACAAAGTATTTAAACCGAATGCTACACAAGACAAAGTCTACAATGAAGCCGCAAAGTCTATCGTCACGGATGTTTTGGCAGGATATAACGGAACCATTTTTGCATATGGTCAAACATCGTCAGGTAGAGTTTTATTCAAAATAATTATTATAGAACAGGATGTTCATTATATGTGTATCTAGAAAAACTTGGCAAAATCTAATAGTGTTTTTCACTGGCAGAGCTGGTGTACAGCCAGCACTTTAAAGCCGTTGTACACAATAAATCGACGATAAAGATGTACGTTTAATAAAAATAGAAACGAATTAAATCGCGAATCCTCAATACATTTTATTGTGCTATTTGATAAAATATACAGAGGGTATTTTATTAATTGAGATATCCTATTTTTACATTCAAATTAGATTAGTGTACATAATAGCTTTAATATGCATTGAGTGTGCACCAGTTCTGCCAGTGAAAACACTATAAAATTTTCAAAATATTTTAGCAGGAAATTGTTGTCTCGTCAAAAATTTATAATATTTTCCATTAGGAAAACACATTAGTGCAACATCAGTGGTCTGTTCTCTGTTCCTGCAGTAGACTGCACTCTCTTTCTCACTTTCAACAAATATCAAACATGTAGCGGAACATGTGGAGACACATTCACACTTCCCCAAACATATATCCTATCTCACTTCAAATTCCAAAAGTGTATATTAATTAAACCGCAGAAAATAGACCTCAGTTAACTTAGGCTGCGTTCCACTTAAGGCTGGAATCAGACTATGCATTGAAGATTAAAAATTGAAATTTCACCAATGAGGACAAAGAAATTTTGGATCTTTTTGTCCTGATTGGTCAAACTTCAATCTTTCAATCTCATTCTTCAATGCGTAGTAGTCTGATTCCGCTTAACTTAATTCGGCTTAACGCTCGCAACGCTCACGAGCATTGTTTGTCCTTGTTTAACATTTGATAAGCAACAAGAATAAATGATTCCATGAGCGTTATAAGCGTTAGTGGAACGCAGCCTTAATGGACCGTTAATTGACCAATCGTATTTGCTGTTTAGTAGAATTGACCAATTACGGTTGACAGTTAATCCCGATTAGGATTAATCGATATTGGTGAAATCAGCCCTTAATGTTGATAAATAATTTAATCCTTTAATTATATATTCTTGATTGTCACGGTTACCTCATGATCTTAAAAGGATTGAATTATTTATTAACACTGAAAATATGTAAACCAATTTGCACTGAATTGCACCAAATTAGATCCGTTCAGTAGAACCGGAGTAAAATTCTTTAAAGTTGGTTCTACATTAGTTGCAAGCTGATCGCAAGTTTTTTGCGACAACCAATCTGCTTGCATTTTGAAATCAACACTTCAGATTGACTGTCGCAACAAATTTGCGATCAGTTTGCAACTAATGTAGAACCAGCTTTACTGAATACTGCAACTGTTAAGTGAATCCGCCAATTGTTGTATGTACTTGTGTTGTCCCAGAGAATGCAATTAGTTTATATCGCGAGTATTGTACGAGTTTTGTTCGAAATTTCTAGTTTTGCTTAGATTGGATTCTATCTTTGTAGCTAAAATTGCTTCAATTTTGTGAAACAAAAGTATAGAGAATATTTGAGAAATTAAGGAAT